TTGTTGTTCACAATTATTATTTCCTTATTAACTTTCCAAGCAAATAGCCTAGGTAGACATAGAGTTGCCACATAAAAGTGTACAATATCTTAGGGCAACAGATTCATTATGAGTTCATGCTTGAAGGGTGGGTGAAAGGGCTGATTATCAAGCCCAATGATGTCAATTACAAGCTGCTCAAACAAAACTATGGGTTAAAAATTATAGTAGATGTGGTTGGCTCTTATATTGTGTAGCCTAAGCATTATGTTTGGTTAGGAGCAGAAGAAATTCCACCATAAGTATGCCATTAATTTACACTATCTCAATTCAAATTTAAAGTATAGCCAATAAAAATTCAAATTCTAATAATTGATATTAATTAGTACCTAGTCCAAGGGGAATAACCCTTAGACAATTGGGTCAACTATCGAAGACCAAGAAACAACCGACCTTTGAGCCAGTGCCAAGTAGATGTTCCTCCTCCTTTGCCAAAGATAAATCAAAACATGTTAGCAAAGTATGTGTGATTGGCCCAGAACACAGTGGAGCAGTTGTTACTGCAAAATGATGACCTGTATCCAAAAAAGGTTGGTGAGATCATTGACTTTGACATCATCAATACAGTCCTAACACATAATAAGGTCATCCACAGCCTAGTAGACATTTATATGAAGTACTTAAATACTCTTCTCATTCACATTTCTAGTTATTATTTTTATCCATATTTACTTTTATCAATTTCTTCATTTAAGTACTTGTACGATACGTTCATCATCCCTAGTAACTTAGGATCGAGGTTCGTGTTTTTCAATCCTCATGAGTTCTCAAGTTTTGAAGGTAGTCAGAAGGATAAGTGTTTATAACAACAATCTCAAACATTGACTACATACTTTATAGAAAGACCAGCTTTAAAGGAGATGGTGTTTTTGTTTCCTTATTTGAATAGGTGAGTTACTTGGTTTTCTAATGCCTTAATTGAAATTTACTATCTTTTTCAAATTCTAACTATAACACACATTATCCAATTCTCCTAGAGGACACTAGATGCTTATCATGATTGAGCTTGTAGATCCTAAAGCTCTCAAGATGTACTATTTAGATTCAACTCCTCATAATGAGGATCTAACTAATCGACCATATATGTTGAAGATATTCAACAAGTAAGTATATTTAGTAACTAATATTTTGTTTGTTTTCAAAATTCTACCTTTCTAACATTTTTGTCTTCCTTATATTAAGGTTGTTGTGCTATATCGCATTAATGCAAATTTTCCAAACAAGACATCATTTAAGGAATATAAGGATGCCATTAAAAGGAATGTAATACAAGTATGTTTAAATTATTGCCAATTACTTAATTGTTTTCATTTTTTTTATATAAATAACATATATTTTTATCGTTATCTTCATGTAGTGCCCTCAACAAATTGACAATAGTCATGATTGTGGCTACTGTATGATGAGGTATGCTAAAGACATCATCACTCACAAGAAACCTACAATCCCCCTCATGGTATCCATCATTTGTATAAATTTTTATATTATAATAAATATTAATTGTTATCAACTAACTTCATTATCATGTGTGTTCTAGTACTATCTAGACTGTGCTACACCTCATTTTTAGGATACCCATATTAATGAAGTCCTTGAAGACTAGAGCAAATGTGCGCATAAAAAGTGGATCACTTCTAATACAAGGTGATAATAGATAGTTAGTTTAGGAATAGATTAGTTTAGTTGTCAATATATACTTTAGATATTTTAAGCATTAGTATTTTAGTTCAAATTAATTGATTTATATCACTAAGTTTGAAATAGAATAATTTTGATGTAAAAAAATTGTAAACATTATAGTTTTGAATTGAGTGTATAGATCTGATTTTTGGGCTATTTTGAAATATTTTTAAGTATATCTATTTTGTATATTTAAAAAAACTAGCCTTATAGGACAGTTATGGCCATTACCTTCCTATAACCATCCTCTATATAAGGGCATATAGGACAATTATGGTTTATAAGGCCTCTCTAGTTTCAGATTTGGTCTAAATCTGAAACTTTATATAGGACGGTTATGTAGAAACCATTTGATATTTATCTTCAATATAGGACGGTTCAATAACTGTCCTATGTAGTTGAAGTAATAGAGGATGGTTGACAACCATTCTTTAAACAACTATCATTTATGGTCAAATCTGTTGTAGTGGTATCTAAAATGTTTTGATATCTATACAATGATATTCATAGAATTTTCTCACTGATTATTTCCATAAGATATAACCAGTTTTTCCTAAATTTCAAAAATTTGTAATTTTCTTCACAAACTTCCAAATATTATGAATTAGTACTCTTTGGAAAGCTTATGTTGTCATGTCTAGTTTTCAATGCAAAAATAATCAGTCAAACATATTATCATTTACTCCTCAAAATTTAACAATTTCAATTACTACTTATAAAAGTTTTAATTATAGTGGGGTATTACACCTTTTTATCATATATATATATATATATGTATGTTACATCCCAACACACACACTAATGTTCCACTTTATTTTTGAAATCCCCACAACTCTATCACCTTGTGAATGTATTTCCCTTGGATATTCATCCTTTAACAAAATGTTACTAACAAAGGGATATTAATACCAATATCATTCTTAATTGTTTTACTTCTAACTCTCATCCCTAAAAGAAGGATGTTAGGTAGATGCATGGCTGATGCAGAATAGGGAAAAGGTAAAGGGAGAATAGAAAAGATAAGAGATAAGATAGCAGAGAAGAGAGAATTAGGTAGAGGAAAAGAGAAATGTGGAGGAGAGGCAAACTTATAGCAATTCTTATTCAATTAAATATGTGTACAAAGTACATAAGTTAAGGTGTTATTTATAAGCCTTAACCAAACCCTAAAAAAATACAAGAAAATTATAAAAACTAAAAGTTAAATAAAAAGATAATAGTAAATGCTAGAACATAACATGAAAATAATTCAAATACTATAAGAGTTTAAAAAAATCATAACTAATATGACAATCAAAATAAAATATCTTCAATATTTATTTTTCTTTTTGTTTCTATCATTTCTCCCCTTCTTGAAAAACTCTCCTCTAGAAAGTAAAATTATGGATATGCTCATAAAGTATGATGGAATGGTCAAAAGATTTCAAGTTGTGTCTTTATATTTGAAAATCCTTTCTAGCAAATCAGATACCAATAAATGGCATCAAATGAATAGCAAACAATGTGAGCTTCTAGAATGACAATGTGCAAGTCTAGATATCCTTTCAAACAAGCAAGATAATAATAGAGGGGACTATGTGATTCAAGAATAGCCTATTCTTCCACAATTGCAATAACTTTATCACTAGAAGGCAAGTAGACGAATGAGGTAGAATAGGAGCAAGATAAAAATGAATGTCATTACTAATAATCTTAGAATTTGAAACTAACATGGGCAAAATTTGCTTCCATAGTCATTCTTCTTCTTGAATAATAGTTGCCTCTTGAGTCTCAACAAAGTTTATATCTAGAGTAGGAGGAAAACTTCAACATGGTTTGACTTGGCTTCTTTGTCACATGCTTTAATCTCAAAATCATCAATGCTATTGCTTTCTAGCATTGCTAATATAGGTAAAGGTCAATATGACTTCTCTTTCTCAACTTGATGCCAATGCCCTTCTATTAATGTTGAATGAAGAGAGCTTTGGAGTTCATTGATTTTATCTCTCACATGTTGAACGCGTGAATGTATGAAATCCAAGTTTGATTGATCAATCAAGTCAGCAACATTAATATAACCATAGCAGTAATAACCAACAAAATCATGTTGATGATAATCAAAATAATCATACTTGTGATGGTCAATATGATCATATCGACAATTAAATGAGCCCATAATATCATGATTAAAGGTGGCTTTTTTTTTTTGAATTCTAGGTAAAAGTGAGATGGAAAGGGAGAAGGTCTAATATCCTAAATTTGAAAAAAAAAGTTTCCAAGAGTTGCCCTCACCTAAAAGGTGAAAAACCCTATTTAATAAATATATCCTTCTAGGAACTCAAAAGTTCTTAGGAGATCACATTTGAACCCCTTAAGAAAGCCGATAGAAACTTCGAATAGCCTAGGGTAAATTTTTTTTAGCTGAGTATAAGGCTAGACTACGTGTGAGGTAGATGTGTCTAGGGAATTAAAAGATAGGAATAGTGTTGAGAAAAGAAAAAATAAAATAGGTAAGAAAGGAAATTAGGGAAAGAAACGGTGAAGGAAATCAAGGATAATATGGAAACAAATAATAATAGAAAAAGAAATTAGGGAAAGGATAGGTAGAAAATGAATACAAAATAAATTAAAATACCCTTGTAATACTCTAAAGACTTGGAAGTTGAAGTTTGGAATATAAAAACTTCACCAAGTAACTTAAGGAACCTAAAGTTATAACATATAATTACCCCCAAAAGTGTTTTTGTATGATGATTCTTAGCTCTAGGAAGGTGTTTAGTGAAAGTAAAGTGAAAATCTGAATCTAATGCTAGTTGATATAGAACGGGGAAGGGAAAAGGGAAGAAAAGAAGAGAAAAGAGATAGAAAGACAACAAATAAGAGAGAACTAGATGTAGAGAAGAGAGAAACTTGGAAGAGAGGCAAACTAATAGTGATTTTATTCAATCAAAAGTATGTACAAAGTAAATGAATTAAGGAGCTATTTATAGGCCTAAACCTAACCCTAGAAAAATGTCAAGAAATTCTAGAAATTTTAAAATTAAATGAAACAGATAATAATAAATGCTGAAAAATAATCATAATTTAAGTATTACTAGAATTAAAATAAAATAACCTTAATTAATTAAAATAAAATATCTTCAAACTTTAAATCTTCAATATCTTCAATTATTTATTTTTCTTTTTCTTTTCCACCAATGGCTACACATGAAGGTTACGTTTAGTTTTTTTTAATATCAAATAATTATAGAATTATTTATTTTTCCGACATAAACAATATAACCACACTCACACACGATATGTTAACATATAAATTAAACTCAGTGGGTAGAAATATTACAGCATCACATAAAATGCAACGTTACAAATTCCGAAACAGTACAACCATGCCTTGAACAAAGATAACACAACATGACACTCATTCACTTATAATCTCTTATTCTTGCATCAGGGAAGAAATCCCTGTGCTCTTAGGAAGTTCGAACAACTAGAAGGCATGGTTTTAATTCTTCGTCTTCAAATCTTATTATGGGACAATAATTAAAACAGAAAACACACACACTTCTCACAAAGATAAAGTTCCAATTGTACTCTAAGGAGGCTAGAATAAGGATCTCTGATGTGCTTTTCTCTAATACCTTTTATAATATCCCAACTTTTCATTTTCTTTTTCTTTTTTCTTTGGATCATTGGATTTCACATAAAATAAGAGATATTTTGATATCTTGAAGTTTTGAAATGGTGATGTAATTGGTATGATTTTTTGTGAATTTTCAAAAATAAAATGGTGTAATTGGAATATTTTTTTTTGATACTTCAAGATATTGAAATATTTCTTATCTTATATAGAAGAAATTGATCTAGAGAAAAAAAAAGAAAAAAAATTGAAAAGTTGGGACATTTCAAAAAGTATTAAAAAAAAAAGCACCTTAGAGGCCCTTATCAAGGGAGGCTTCGGTACTTCCTTTTGCTCTTCCAACATTTGATATAGCAGGCTGCTGGGGCTGATTCTTCTGTTTTGTCCTTGAATCTTGGAAGAAATGTGATATGTCATCTTCATCCATAACTCTTGGTTTCGGAACCTTCTTGAAGAATGAGACAATGAGAAGATTCAAGTACAGTGGAATTTGTGTGAATATGTATAGCCCCATGGCTGGGAATAAAATGACAGAGTAAGATATAATGGGCTGATACTTTTCTTTGGGGTGAAAGTCATGGGACAAGGCAGCATAGAAAGTGACCAGCATTGAGACAAGGGATGCAAAGAATGTAAAGAAGCCCAAACAAAGGTAAAATGGCAAAATTCTTCGGAAATTTTTGGGTATTCCATTTCGAGTACTATAAATGCAAAGGAAAGCCGTCAATGAAGTGATTGAGAAGCAAAATGAAATCAACAATGAGATATAAAACGTATGACCAAATCTGTCTGGGGCTTGGTAGCATGCAGAAAAGGTAGCACCAGCAATTAGTGTAGCCGCAATAATGTAAGGTTCACAAGTATCCTTCACTGATTTGTTACATTTTTCGATGAGATCCTCATGCGTTTTGATGAAGATCTTCCATGGAGTTTTACCCTCGTTGTTGGATTGCGAGATGAAGTACGAAGGCATATTCATTTTCACATACTGCTTCAACATATATAAAGATAACAAAATCCATAAGCATTGTGCACATTCACGTGTGTGTGTGTGTGTGTGTGATTCCATATTCAAAGTAAAAAAGTAACACGAAATAGTAAAATTACTTAGTTTAATATGAAAGAATGGGGAAATGAAGGAAAATTAATTATGTCAAATATAGAGAGATATTACTCCAATCCTTATTATAAGGCATCTTCTAGAATAGATAATATAAGAGACTTGGTGAAGTATTAATTACATTTTTCTAATATTACCCTATTTAAATTCATTAACTATGAAAAAAATGTATTGCAAATTTTAAATTTTGTCATTTAAATATAAGTAAATCTAAAATTTTTTTTTTCAAACAAAGTTAATGACTTAATCACCTGATCTTTTTTATTTCAATGAGGTGGTTAAAAGTACCTTATAATATGGGTAGAGAAAATATATAATTAATAAATCTAAATTTAATATTTTTTATATCATTAATGTAACGACGATACTAACATCAAAACTATAAACACAATGATTTGGTTATCAATGTCTCATCATGGAAACAAACTTTTCTACGAAAATTATTAGTTACAGTTAGAGCCCAAAAACAGGCAAGCCTGGCCTCATGGGCATGAGCCCATATGGGTAACATGGGCATAAGCTCATAAATTTAATTACCCCAAAATTAATCATTTTTTTAAAATTATATCTTTTTTGAAGGGCTCAAGCAAGACTCGTAAGTCAGTTTTTATTATTTTTTGAATTTTACAAAATTAAAATTTTCTATTACAATATTTCATATTTTTTAAAAATATAAATTATAATTTTCAAAAGTTAAAAATAAATAATAGAAATTCAAATTTTAATGTATAAACATGCATATATTTTAAAGTTTAAGTTCAATTTAAAAATTAAAAATATTTTATTTTTAAGGAGCAACACAAAAATAGGTCCAAAATGGTTGCTTGAGCCTAAGCTATCTCTTTCAGGATCGAGATTGAAAACCCAATTTTCCTAAAAGCATATCATTTTTTCAAGTCCAAATTCTTATAAAAATAGGTTCAAATGAGCAACCTTCCAGGTCTGACCCTTATTTCTAGTAGTGGTTGTGCGCGTGCGCACACATATATGATGTAGCATGTTTTTTGGGTGTGTACATTTGTTAGTTTTGTAAAATACCTCCATCCCAATTTATAAGATGCTTTTTTAAAAAAATTATACATATTGATAAAGCTCGTAAATATACTTTACAGCCTTATTTTTTTGTTCAAGACAAAAATATAAATTAAACTTCTCAAATTGTTCTTCATTTAATATTTCATTTGTGAAAGAATATATCAAAGAGAGAGATGATATAATGGCAAGAGTGTAATATTAAAAAAATTATTATTAATAAAACTTTATTTTCATTAAAATATAATATTTTCGGATGTTGAATCTCCCACAAAAATATTTCATAATTTGGGATGAAGGTAGTATAAAACTGTGTGCATTTTTATTTATATATATTGTTATATAAAAAGTTCTTTGAATCATAAAATATATTTTCTTTCAAATGCCGCTTCAACGTATATAAAATAGCAAAAAACATAATAAGCATTGTAAAAATTCACATAAGAAATATATAATCCAATTATTGGGGGAAATTAAGAAGTTATAAGAAATACCTCAAACCACATGACTTCCCATTGCATTTGCATAACAGGTCCACGTATTCCTGTTGCTGTATGCTTTGATTTCGTTGCAGCCAAGTGCAATGCATTATTTCCCTTATTATCCACCTTTTCTATCAGTGCATGCCAATGAGAACGTTTGTGCTTCTTCACTATCTCCAACACATGACTTTGCCTTTCTTCTATTGCCATGTGTATTATGTTCCTCTTCTCTATCAGTAACTGGTCGTGGATAGACACTGGGATACCATCAAGGATTTGTTGCACTTGCTTGACCAGACCATTTTTTGCTGCTATTAACAGTGCTGTTGATATTTTGATTCTTCCTGCCAAGTACCAACGACTTGAAGCTTAAAACGTGTGAAATCCCAAAAAAAAAAAAGGAAAAAAAAAGGTTAAATGGTAATTTTGCTTTTAAATTATAAGGCTAGGAACACTTGGAAATCTCAACTTATTTTTGGTACAATGCCACTCCTATTATTAATAAATATTAACTTTAATTTTTAGTTGATAAAAAAGAACAGAAAAGGAACTCAGAAATTACAAAAAATGGACAAAAAAATTGTAAATTCTTTTATATGTTATTAATCAAAGGGGTTGGACAACGTTGCACCATTTTTTTAAAATGTTGAAGAGAAATATTTCACCAAGAATGAATTTAAGGTTCTAGACATTCCTAAACTTATAGTTGAAGAATATAATTACTCTCTTAGATTTGATATTTAAATATTTATCTGTAATTAAAACTCTTAAATTTATAATAATTTTGATTGATTTTTAACTTGCTTTTCAAAAACATTTGTGGAGGACTTAATTAGTATTAATTCACAGTTTTAGAATCTAACTATCATTGTCTCTTAACACCCCCGGGAAAGAACTTGTAGATGTTACCTTTCTGTACTTGCTTATCCTTGAGCTTATAGAATACAAAGTTTTGAATTTCCTGTGCCTGAACCGCATAGTTGTTTTTCATATACCAAGGATCTTGTTTTACAAGTTCTTCCATAATAAGGTCACCAAACACATGATCTTCTTTCATTTTCCTTATGGAATCTGATCCCCAAAAAAACATTATTAAAGGCATAGTTAAAGATCAAATTAAATTCAAACTCGTGTAGAAAATCCATAAAAGAAACTACAAAAGAATTAATTAAATAATGCATATAAATCAAGCCAAAAATATATATTTATGTATGTGTGTATGTATCTACCCCATAAGGAAATGAGTTGGGTCAGAAAATTGTTTGTGTTCGATGAATTTTGATCATCTAAGTCCTTTGGCTTCACTGCAACAACAACAACAACAACAACAAAATCAAATATTATTTATTGTTAGTTCGTAATTAATTTTTAAAATTAAATAGGGGCTGGTGATATTAACTTTCAAACCAGAATAAAAATACATACCATGGATGCTAAATGATAAACTTAATAATAAAAATCACAACTATGCCTCGTGGAAGATAATATTGAACCTGAGCCAATCACTGACCATTTTAAAATATATATACATATATAGGTAACAACAGGACCAAATGGGATTGGTTTATGTGTTTAACTGTCAAATCCGATGAATTTGTATTTTGAAAAGTATTTCTATTTGACCCCAAAGAATTTTATATTGCATGCATTTTAGCTTCTCTGCACAAGTATTTTTTTTATTTCAATTAAAAGTATGATCACAGCCGATGATATTAACGTTGAAATCAGAATAAAAATAATAAAAAAATCAAAACAGAATAAAAATATTGTGGATGATATGGTAATTATAATAATAAAGCTTCAACAATAGAAACAACAATTTATGTGAACCTTGTAGTTGATGGGCGGATTGAGTCTGACCAGCATTAGAATTTGCTGAATTTTGATCCTCGGACGGCCGCTTCCCGCGAGCAACTTTTCCAAGAAAATATTTTGGGTTAATTAATATTATTAATATGAATATCAATACATCAATATTATTGCCTAATATTAATGCTAATCTCTAATCTAGCAATATATAGAAGATAAAATTTATAAGAAGCTACATTCTTTACAATAAATTCTAACCCAATCTTGCTCATTTTTTCTAATTTCTCTCTACTCCATAAGTGTACTTACTCATACCAAGGGCATTATTGGAAAAATATTAATCACTTCATAGACTCTGTAAAATGACTTATAACAAGGATAATGAAAAGCTTCTAGAAAGTGACTGATAAATGGAACTTCAATGAGTATGCTATTATATAATGATATATCTATTAGAACAACATATTAATTAATTATACTTGAGCATTAATTTTATACAATAGTTTTTAGTATTTTGGGATATCCCATTGGTTTAAAGTTATGTTTCTGTGTCCCCAAGTGTTTTTTCAAACGCTAAAGCATGTCACTCACGTTTTGAATAAGTTAAATATGTAAATGCATGGTTAAGTTGCATGCCAGTGCAGTCTAGCTTGTAACTCTAGTCTATATATGAATTTTAATTACAAGTTCAAAGAAGTAAATTTGAATCCAGTAATGGTGTGTTTGGGATTGATGGGGATTTTAATTTGGATTTAAACTAAATTTTTATTTAGATATAAAAAAATTTATGGATTTAGATTGGATTCAATTTCTAATCCACAATCAAATCTATTCCTTATTATAATTCTTTTATAATTCTAGTCACTTCAAATATCTCATTCTCTATGTTTATATTGTTTATGCTTTCATGACTCTTGTAGTTTTCTTCATATATCTTTTTCATCTCTTATTGATAAAAAAAACAGAGGTAAATTCACCACTTTTATTTTTTTGTTTTTATTTAGAATTTCAACTCACCTTTCTCCTTCATTTAAGAAGACTTAAACTTTCCAAACAAAGAATTTTAAATACATGAATTTTAAATGTGAAATTTTAAATTTAGAATTTCAAATTCAAATCTACTAAGCAAAATATTACTTAAAAGAATTTCTAGACAATGTCATAGTCATTGAACAACCTGTACAAATTAGTTAGGTCATGAGCTCAAAAATTATTTTTCCCCAAATTAAAGGTAGACTTTCCAAACTTTATTTTAAGACAATATCACCCAAATATGATTTTATTTACTTAAATAAAACTGACATTAAACTTTAATTTTTCAAGCTTTTGAGTTCTTTCTTGTCTCTAGGAAATCTTAATGGAACCTAGCTAATAGCATATGTTTCCATTATGGGTTCTAAAAATAAAATGTTACAAGGAGTGACTTTTTTAATACTTATTAATTTCTATTAGTTATTATTAATTAATATTTAGGATAAATTATACAAAACATTCATAAATATACATTCATATGCAAACAACCCCTTTTAACCTTTAAAACTAGACAAATAACACACCTTAAACTTTTAAAGTTTGTGCAAATAATCCATTTCCATAAATTTTTTTTGTTATTTCACTATCATATGTATATATGTGATTGCCTGAATACCTTCTTAAAAATTTTTGTGTGCAAACAACACCCTAGACTTTGAGTGATGTGTAAATAAACTCCCTTGTATATGTATACTACCTCTGGACTATTTATAAGAAACAAGTTTTATAGTTAAAATTTAACCACAACTTGTTTCCTATAAATGACGAACAAATTAACGGCAGGGAAGTTATTTGTATACATGCAAGAGCTTAAGGGGTTTAATTTAAAGATCATGGACGTTAATTTGTATGTGTAGCTCATCAAATTTTAAGAGGTTATGTATAATTTAGTCTAAAAATATTACTTTGTCTCTCCCTAATTTTTTCTCCCTGTTTTGTGTTTAGACCAATGAAATGAAAAATTGGACAGATTCTAGGATTAATGATCCGGTCAAATCATGGCCAAATTAGTCATAATTAAAAGGATTAATATGCAATTTGGATTTTAAACTATATATCTATGAGCAATTTTAACTCTAAATTCATATTGGGTATATTCTAAACCCTAACAATTAAAGTCGGGATAATTTCATCTCACTGCTAAATAAAAACAAAACTGTTATTTTTTTAAAAAAAAATTAAGCCTAATATGTAATTTTTTTCAAATTTCACTCTCACTCTCTCTCCTAACCTTCATTGAGGGAAATTACACTTCATGCCCTATTTTTCTTTTTTAAAGTAAAAAATGTTTGTTTTAATTTAATAATGAGGTAAAATTATCTTAAATTTAATTATTTAAGATTCAGAATATATCAAATATGAGTTTAGGTTTCAAATCATCTTGAGATCTATAGTATAGGGTCCAAATTGGATATGAACCTTAATTAAAATACAAAAATATTCATATATAACCATAAAAAAAGTAATATTTAAATAAAATAAGGCATTAATAATCAATAAAATGGAACACTATATTCATCCTTAAATCATACAAAGTCGTAAATCGTAATGTCTTATATAGATAATATTAATTAAAAAAAACAATTTAATGTTCTGATTACTTGGAAGATAGATTTTTTTTTTTTTTTTGGGTTCTGGTGGAAGATAGATGTTTTTGGAAGATAGATGTTCAATCATTAAAGTATCTTACAGTTGTCAGCCACAATCTTGCCATAAATTTATTACAAATTCAGCACAAATTCTTAGCAAGAAACCAAAAACAAAAACAAAGAAAAAACAAAAAAGCTATTAACTTTGACAAAATATAATGATGTCGTTTCAGTGTTTAGGAGGGGCCAAAAAATAATATAAACGCCAACTTGCTTGACTCATTCATCCCATCACGGTTGACCAAGTGGCACCAGGGTCAAAAATCAGGTTTATTTGACAAGACCGAGAAAAATCAGGTTAATTTGGCCAGGGACACATGTAATTTATACATTTGGCCAAAGACATGTAATTGTTTTTAAAGTTTGAAATCACATATGTATATATATAGTGATGGATGGGACAACTTTTTTTGTTTTTGGAAAGGGGTGAGCTAATTATACTTTGTCAACTAATTACGAAAATTAGACGCAAATTATTTAAAAATTAAATAAATTATACTTACGGCAGTAGCACCATTTCTGCCACCATACGAGACAAGTGCCATTTTTAAAGGCAGAAGGAATGGAGACAAGCTCATCAAGAGGCAACCTTCCTTTTTCATTGAAACAGCTTCCAATCATAATGTTTTGCTTCTCGTAAACCTTAATTATTTCGTACGACAAACCTAGTAAACATTCAATTCCACGCTTAATTAGAAATGAAAAAAAAAAACTTTTTGGATAAAAAAATTAAACTTAATGGTTAAACTGTGTGCATAATTGTAATAAATAAGCTCAACATAACACTCCATCTGATTTCAATTATAATTAAGTAAAAACTACCAAGTTTTATTGGTATTAATAAAAGCAAAAACTACTTTAACGCATATTTCCATAATTGTGCCCCTCATTTAACTAAAATTAGAAGAGATGATGAGGAGTTGAAATTGTTGCAATAAATGACCACCATATATTGAGCATCTGAGGAAAAAGAATTCAATTTCATTGTCACACATAATTCAAATGAAAAACTAACTTCTTTAATAATTACTCAATCCGGACCAGAATATGGGGCATTAATAATTAATTTATGATTATAAAAAAGTTAGTTAAAACTTAATCTCTTGAAAAAATTTATATCTTTTCAATTATATCCTCATTAAATATTATGTATAAGTGCATTAATAATGATAATGTACTACTTTCATACTTTTAGATAACATTATATATACCAATAAAACTCATTAAATGCACATTATAGCTTTACTTTTAAAAACAAAATTTTAAAATTTTAAAAATGTCTTTCATTTAATACTTTATTTGTGAAAGAATATTTGAAATGGTAATAATTGAAAATATCATTAATAAAACTTTATTTTGTCAAAGTGTTTTATCTTTAATGTTGAATCTCCCACAAAAGCATCTTATAATTTGAGAAAGAGGGAGTATCATTTTTTTAAAAAAGTGTAATAATTAAATAAAGAATTGGCATAAATGAAAAATATATATAAAAATTACTCAATATCCTATACTGAGCATAGCTTCTAGAAGATATTCTATATGTAACTGTGGGGGAATATTAATAAAACACTGTTTTTCTTACAATTGACACTAGAGGGACAATTGAAATATAATTTTAATGTACTACCCCTATTCTAATTTATAAAAAATTTTTAAACAAAATCGCGTATACCAATAAAGCTCAATAATTGCACATTACAAATTTAGTTTTTCAAAAAAAATATATAAAATTTTAAAAATGCCTTTCATTTAATAATTTATTTGTGAAATATATTAAAGAAAGAGAATATATTGAAAGAACAATATTTAAAAAATATGATTAATAAACTTTTATTTTTCTCAAAGTGTCTTATATTTTAAGAAACCAAATCTCTCCCAAAAGTACATTATAATTTGGGACAGAGGGAGTATCATTTTTTTTTTCAAAAAGAGTGATAAATGAAATAGAAATATAATTAAAAAAACAATATACAAAATTACTCAATAACTTATATTGAGCATAGTTTTCAAAAGATGCTCTATATTATAATTTTGAGCGAGTATTAGCGGAGACGGATCTATAGGCTTCCCTCATCCCAATACATTATCAAGTCTTTTATTTATTTTATTTTTTTTTGCCAGATTATCAAGTCTTTGATGAAAATTTTATTTCTTCTTTGCAAAATAGTTTAAAATAGATTTTTGCCCCCCATTTTTATTTTATTTTCAAATTAGCCCCCAACCGTAAAACCCTAGATCCGTCCCTGAGATTAAAACATTGTTTTCCTTACAATTGAGGCCAGAGGCACTACTTACCGAAGTATCTTCTCTGAATAGTACAGTGAAGTATGGTATCTCTGTTATTCCTTTCCCAGAGCTGTAGATCTGCGGACGATGACTTCTTTTCCAAATCCTTCTCACTACAAACTTGATGAAGACAAAGGAAGGTCTCTTTGTTGCTGCTAAGAGCAGCCGAAAAGAGAGGTGTCTCTCCCAAATTGTTCCTCTCAAGAACCAATGGCTTTAACTTGTCGTCGTTTATCATGTTAGCGCAAATGAAGGCAGATCCCCTTGAGGCTGCACAGTGCAAAGGAGTATCTCCTCGTTTATTCCTGGCTTTCAAAACTTTCAAGCCCTTATCATCATTAGCAGATTTCTCTTTTATTTGATCAACAAGGCTCTTAACTAGAGAATCTTGTGCCTTGTTACTGATAGCCCAGTGCAACGCAGTGTCGTGGAACTCATCATCATCGTCGACCCCATTCTCTAATTCCCTATTCACCATATCTGCGATCTTGGTGTCATGAATCTCTGGATAATTCTTGAACAACGCTTCCACTTCTTTCCAACTTTCATTCATAAGGGCATTGTACAGTTTTTCCTTTGGCTGTAATGTTGTTCTTGAACTGCTGCTAGCCATTTTTATCTTCCTAGCTAATTCACTTAGCCAGGGAAATATTAGAGATAAGGAAATTAAAAAAGTATCATATCTAAAAATTAGAAGACAGATTAGGAATATATAAAGCTTAGGGTGTATCTAATTAAATGACTTAAACTATTTTAGTAAAGTAAAATTCCCCCAAGCATACTTATAAAGAGTTTAATTAACATGGTATCATTAGCCATTCCATTTGGGACGACAAAAATAAAAAAAATGAGAAAAAGGAGAAAAAGAAGGAATGAATGAAAAAAGAGAAAAACGAAACAAGAGAAGAACAAGAAGAATTTGAATAGAATTGATGCCTTTAAGACTAAAAAAAATAGTTCAAGCCTAGACAAGGAAAAGAAGAGATTGAAAAAAATTGAGAAAAAGAAAAGAAAAGTAGTAGAAAGAATATTAGATATAAAGAAGTTAAAAAAAAAAGTCCCACATTAGAAATTAATTAAAAGACTAATTAAAAATATATAAGGCTTGAAGTGTGTCTAATAAAATGGTTTAAACTATAGGTTGGTGAAGTAGACTACTTTCAAATATACTTAATATAAAGATCAAGTTAAATAGTAATCCATCAACCATACAATGTGATATGAGATGTATGAAAAAGATATATTGCGTGTGTGTGTGAGAGAGAGAGAGAGAGAGAAAGAAGTTCAGAAAGTGATTATAGAAATATATACAATGAAGAGGATAACATTATTACCTAATTGATGGGAGGAATACAAAGAAGAAACCTTCTCCAACTGGCAGGCTAATTCTAAGTTAATGCAGAGGTGGCTTCTGAGAATGATGGTGGAATATAGAGAAGGAAGATGATGGGCGTAGCTGAGATTCAAAATTCTGATGGATGAAATAGATGGTTCAGAATCTCAACTTATATAGATTACATCGCAGGGTGAAAAGTAAGTTTTTTAAAAATAAGTTAGGACAACTTGTTTTTGCCAATCGTCAATTATTAACATGCACATAATTCAACGGGTGTGAATGGTATTGTTACCACATGCACCTACATTAACATTTTTAATGTTATATCTTAAACATTATCTTGGAAAAAAAATCTACCAAACATAGTTGACTACAAATAATGTAATAATTAATATAATAAGTTATTCTTAGTCACGAAATTTGCTTATATTTACAAATTACTTTGGTTATCTAGAGTTAGTGCGCTAACGTGTGATATCTCCGGGAGTGCAAATGGGATATATTAAATTCATTATTAATGCTCGTGGAAAACCATTTGTTACCTAATGTATTATTTGTAGACAATTAAGAAATGTTTGTTGAAGACTTTCGAAGTCAACTATGGTTTGATTGATAGGCTATTTATTTTATTAAGGGTGACTATTATAATATTAGTATGCTACATATTGTCAGTAAACTATATTTAGATATTGAGTGGGATCCATTATAGTACTACAAAAATCTGAATTAGATCTGAATATTAGATGCCCAAAATATCACAATTTTAAGAAATATCTCTGATATAATGGAAAAGCAGAGGATGACAACACCAAATTTGATGCGTGTTTTTAGCCGTGATATTTAATTTTTGATATATATATATATATATATATCTATATATATATGACCGGTGTATCGATCATTTTCTAGAAGCTAAAGAAAAAAAATTTAACTAAATACCAGGTGTTTTGAGCACCTATCATATTTTTCTTTAATTGATTATCCTTCTTTCATTTTAAATGTCTCATATGAGACTATTCTATCTTTTTGTTCTCCTCTACTCCATTAGTACTTTTATGAATTTATCTTAGAGCATCCCACATTTCTTACAGTTGTACAATGGGTAAATTTATAATACTATATATAATTGAGAGCACAAGCTATTGTGAGCTTAGCTTTGGTGTTTAAGTTGAGGAACCTTTTGTTCTTGTCTTTGCTTTGAGAATCAAGCTGCCTTCTTGAGTGCAGCTTCATTTTTCTTTTGCTTTGTAGCTTTTTTTTTTTTTTTTTTTTTTTGCCTTCTTTTGCTTTGTAGCTTATTTGAAAGAGTGCCTCTTTTTGCATTGCCAAAAAAAAAAACTTTGGAGGCAACTTTTAGCAGTGACAAAAAAGTCGCTGCCAAAAGTCTACTTTTGATGGTTACAATTAAAAGTCACTACTAAAATCGACCTTTAGTAGTAGTGTTGTATTGCCACTAAAAATTGTCATCAAAAATAGATTTTTAACAGTAACTTTTAAATGTCACCACCAAAGACCCCCTTTTAACAATGACTTTTAATTGCCACCACTAAAAATCACTTTTAGAGGTGACAGTTAGTTGTAGCCAAAAGGATTTTCATAAAAAAATAATTCATGTAATTACTTATAATAGTGACAGTTTGTCACCCCCAAAAGTATTTTTATAAAAAATAATTAAAAAAATTAAAATGATTTATATAGTTATCTTCCAAAAGCATTTTCATAAAAAATAATTAAAAAGTAAAAATGATTTATACAATTGCTTTTAAGGGTGACAAACTGTCATGCCAAAAGTTTGTTCATAAAATTAATTAAGAAATTAAAATAATTTATGCAGTTATTTTTAGCGGCAATAAATTGTCTCTGTCAAAAGTATTTTCATAAAAAATAATTAATAAATTAAAAATAATTTATCTAATTACTTTTGGTGATGACAAAATATTGCCATTAAAAGTATTTTTGTAAAAAATAATTGAAAATTAAAAATAATTTATGTAATATTACTTTTTAGTAGTGACAATTGTCACCACCAAAAGTATTTTTATAAAAAAATAAAAAAAATATTTTTGTAAACATTAATTTACATAATTACTTTTAGCAACAAAATTTGTTGCCACTAAAAGTATTTATATATTGAATCAGAAATAAATTATATATAAGATCAATAATGATTACTTTTAAAAATAATAATCTAGTTAAGCTAGTATTTTAATAGTGATCTTAATCTTCTCTTGAGTTTCTTTATAGTGTTAAAGTGTTAAAAGGATATTCTTCAAATGTAAAGAACCTTGTATCGATGAAAGATTTAAAGTTACAAGTCTTAAATCTCATGATTGTCATGTGCTCATATAAAATTTCTTACAGATTGGTATTTGATCAATTTTGCCCGAGAATGTGTGACGCACCATCACTAATCTATGCTTGTTGTTCAAGATGATTTGTAATAAAGTGGTTGACCCTATAAATTTGCCAGCCTGCAAAGGCAAGTTGTTTTGACCTTATATGAACTTGAAATATATTTCCCGCCTTCTTTCTTTGACATCATAGTTCATTTAACTGTTCACTTGATCAGAGAGGTTCAAATGTGTGGCTTGGCTTGTTTAAAATAGATGTACCAAATTGAACATTACATGAAAATTTTAAAAGGTGATGTGAAAAATAGATATCAACTCGAGGGTTGTATTACTGAATGGTACATAGTTGAAGAGACAGCTGAATTGTGTATAGAATATTTATCCAACGTTGATACTATAGAGATTCCAAAGTCTCACCATAAAAGACAAAGATCAAGTAAAGGAATAATAAAAAATAAATTTATTAGCATTTCATTAGCTGAATGTGAACATGCTCACCTATATGTTCTACAAAACACTAAAAAGTTAAGCCATTTGTGGAAAAACACAAGAATATTCTTTGAGACATGTTTGGTGTTTAGAAATGAGAATTTTATAACAAAAGAACATAATTGACATTTTGTAAAGTGGCTTAAAAGTTACATCCTTGAGGAGTCAGGAAGAATGCAGGTAATGTTTCTAAAAAATTGATATGACCGGCCAAAGGACCGAGTTTACAAGTTTATCTTATACTAGTTATGTAATCAATGATTATACTTATATACCAAAAAATAGGATGATCAAAGCGCAATACAAAACAATGGAGAAACATTTATTACTGGTGGTTTACAATTATCCAGTTTAAAAGATACCAACCTATCTATGCAAAAATGTCATACTTTGGTGTCATTGAATGTATATGGGAGTTGGATTACTCTATGTTTAGGGTTCCTATCTTTGGATGTAAGTGTGTGAACAATTATAGTGGAGTTCGGATTGATGATTTTGGATTTATTCAAGTGGATCTATGTAAAGTTGCATATAGAGATGACCCTTTATTTTAGCTAAAAAAGCTCAACAAGTGCTTTTTGTTCTTGATCCTGCCAAAAAAAATTGATTTATTGTACTTTTGTCAAATAAAGAACATGAAGATGATGATCAAGCTCAAGGTATTGAAGATATGAACATTAACTATGATCCCTTTCATAGGACATTACAATCTTTTGATGATGATTTAACTGAAGAGGAGCACTTATACATGAGAGATGATCATAAAGATGGGATATGGGTTGACTTATCAAGCCTAAATCAAACAAAGAAAAAATAAAAAAGTAATTTGATTTCTCATGTTTCTTGTTTGAACTTTTTTTTTTTTTTTTTCTTGTTATGCATGCATTCATGTGTTGACTTCAACTTTTAGAAAGATGAGTTTCCATAGTAATGATGAGTCTCACACTAGTTCAAGCAACAAAGGAGAAAATTGATCAAAAATATAAGCATGGGAATAAAGCTACAAGTTGGATGGAATACTAGGGGCTAGCCAATAAAATCAAATGGAGAAAAATTAGTCAGTTATATTGGGACTGTAGCAATCATATGCCTATTACATTTACTGATTGGAGAAAAGTATCAAATGAATACAAGACATTCATATGGGAACAAGTAGAGGTAAAATATAAAAAAAACATTAATATTTTATCCTTTTGATTATTTTTTCTTGTACTTATAGTGATCCAATTTTTTTTCTTTCTTACCGTCTTGTTTTGAACTTGATGAGACTCATAACATATGCCCTTAAAAAAGCCAAAGTTCTTAGAAAATTTTGTTTTGCTAGTGGTATTTAATAGATAATAATTAAAATATCATTGAATACCTACTGGAACTTTATGATGGGACATATCTTAAGAAGATTGGGATGAATTTGTTCTAGCGCACATGACAAAAGAATTTAAAGTAAATAATTCTAGATTTTTCCAATTAAATATGGTTTTACACATAAAATTACTAATTCTACTGCATTATGAAATTCATGAAGGATGTGATCACACATGGTTAAACTTTTATCCCAATTGAGGTATGAAAGTTTTTTTTTTATTTTATTCAGGTTCAATAATCTTTAGTTATATATAACTTCTTGTTTTAATATATTTTGTAGTACTATGAAGACACAAAGTGCTTGAAATACAATGATAAGCAAAGTTATGATCAAATTGAAGAGTGATCATCATTTATTTTGAATTTAGGATACCAGAACATTGGTAATTGTTAAATAGTTTTGTAAGATTAGAGGCTGTTAGATGTCTTGACCTAGTTTTAACTTAGAAATAGTAATATAGCTGTAAATTAATTTTTTGTATTGCAAATATATGTTGTGTAACTTTTCATTGTATAGCTGGATTATTTGCAAATTGTTAGACTAGTTGTGTATTGTTGGATTTGCTGTTCTAGTCAAAAATTTGAGTGTACAAAATTTGTAAAATTTAATCTAAAAGTATAACATTAGGTGGAAGAAACGCCACCTATGTCAAATTTGTTTTAAAAAACTCATCAAAGAGGTGGCATGTTGAACTAATGCCACCTCTCTAAAACAACATAGTGACATTTCTTCAATGAAGAAATGCCACCTCTGTTGTTTTAAATTTTTTTAAAAAAATAAAGGACACAGAGGTGGCATATTCAATATGTACAAACAACCATCTCTGTTGAATTTTGAATTTTAAAAAAAATGGTCATAGAGGTGGTGTTTGTACCTATTGGAAGCGCCACCTCTCTTATTATTTTTTTTAAAAAAATTAA